TCTAAGCTTTTGATTGATGCCTTCCCAAGGTGTTTTCTCACTGTGTCCTCAGAAGTCTACAGAGTGAACGTTTCTATGCAGGAGACTTCCCTTTCTGTGCTCACCATCACACAGCAAGAAGTGGGCAGAGGTGAGGTTTAAATTCAGCAGCACGCCATGAGATTCTGTGTTTTTACCCCTCCTCCCCCCCAGCTCATTCTCCATCTGTGCTGTGTTTCTCCTTCCGGAAGCTTTCTTTGCCTCCTTTCAGTACTTCAAGCGGGTTTCCCAGGAGACCAGAGGGTACCCTGCCCCCATCCACAGAGGCTTTGGAGGCCCCCGCCTCTGAAGAGCATCGCCATCATCCGTTGAATAGTAAAGCATCACTTTCTGAAATGGCTCCTTGCATCTTGATAGGATTTTTATCCCTTAAACTTTTACAGGGACTACAGAGATGGCTTGGCCCCTAAGAACGATTATTGCCCTGGCAGAGGACCCAAGTTCAGTTCATAGCCCCCATGTGGTTGGCTCACAACTACCTGTAACTCCAGCTCCGGAGGGGTTTGATACTTCTGGACTCAGTGGGGACCTGTGTTCATGTGTACATGCTCAACACAGACACATACAATATCCATAATTTTAAAAGGATAAAGAGATAAATCTTTCAAAAGACAAATTTCCTGTGAGTTCCCATAGAGGAGAGACTCTGGTCATTACAAGTATCCAGACTGCATCCCGTGGCCACTCCTCTGAGAAACAGAATCTCAAAGAAATGAAACAGAATATGGTGGCCCGGAGTGAAAACAAACAGTAGAAGCCTTTGAAGGAGGATGAAGAGGTGAAGGGAGAGATGGACTAATGGTCGCTCTCCCTTATCTTCCGGGGCAGCTGCCTTTCATCCCCAGCATCTACTTTGGCTCCTCCCATAATCTTACCCAGAAAAGGGTGGTGCTGGTTTGTGTGCAGGGTGGTATTGCATATCTAGAATCCCCAGTCTTGGCATTCAAAGTTCCCTACATTCAGGCCCCAGCGACTCCCTACCACACCACTCTCCCTCTGCACGAAAGCTGTGCCCCTGGAGGAAGCACTTCACCTCGCCCTATCTTGATTTTCTCGTCTCTGAAATGTAGACGGCAGACTTGCTTGGGTTTTGGAGTTGACGTGGCCTCAGGTAAAGCACAGGAGGGTTCCACAGAGCAGCCACTGTGCACAAAACACATTGTGACAGGCAACACGGTGGTCTTTTCACCACTGGCTTTTTCCACGCCAGTGTCAACCACCTGTCTAACTCCTGTACCCTACGGCCCCCCTGGACTCTGAAAGCAAAGACCTCCATTCTTATTCCGCTAGCCCTGTGACAGCCCTGGCGAGCTACCTTGAAATGGCTTCTTTTCTTAGCAGACTCTGGAAACAGAGAAAGCCCTTGCATTTTCAAATGTGGTTTGGCATTGGATTCCTACAGAATAGACGTCTTCTGTTCTCATGGACAATGTACTGCTCCCGGTTTGGTCAGAGCAGAAGCCAGTTCCTCTGATGCCATCCACCACTGGGTGAACAACATCAACAAAAACCACCCTCTTTGAGGTTTGAAAGAATCTTTCCTCCTTGGCCCATGTTAGACATGCTGGATGAAATCAGAGAGCTTATTTTATCTTCTCTGTTGGCAGGGCCCCAGCCCACTGAGCACTGGGAAAAACCTGAGGCTTTCAAATTCATGGGGCCACCAGCTAAAAATATACTTCCACACACACACTCTAAAAGGATCCCGATTTAGAGTCACAAGAAGTAATTCCACCAGAAGCAGTGTCCTTCTCTGGGTACCATCTGAGGAGAGGACTTAACCAGCCCACACCTCCCCGCCTCGGTCGTGGGTAACGCGACAAGAAGAGTTCACTTTGCACAAGGCTACAACAGAATGTCTTCAGCTCCCAGTGTCCTCCTACACACTCAGCAAATGGTGGTTTATCTCTCGGAGAAGCATGAGGCTACCCTTTAAGCTCTCTAAGGGAAAGAAACTCACTGCGAGTTAACAGAAAACAAGCCCAATTCCTTACCTACGCATCAGGTGTCAAAAAAGCACAAAGCTTTCCTGATCTGAGGGGGAGAAATTCCTGTCATGAAGAGGATAATTGCTTCCACAGTTAACACCTCCAAAAACGGACAAAAATAGCTGAAAGGGAGATATTTTAAAACTATATTAAATCATTCTACTATGAAACCGCAAACTTGAAAAGGGCTTAGGAAAAGCAAAGATCAACTAAATAATGTTTGCCTCTGTAGAGCCTTCTGCTCTTCTAAGGATCTTCAAAACTCCGGCTGGGCAATTCCAGCAGGATTGGGGCACGGCAGAAGAGAGGACGTCACCAGCAGAGGGCTAACTTGACTTTAGTTTGACTAGGTAATGAGGAAGGTGACTTTAGGACCTTGTGTCTACTAAGAACTTCTCCTACGGAAGGACCGGAAGAAAGACTTCAACCCAAGGGTCAAAGGCTGAAAGCAACTGTCTCAGAGTGGCTTCTCACTTGACCCGCTTACCTCTCCGGCTGCCTCTCACTTGACCCCTTGCCTTACTTAAAGCTACGTCATCTGTCCCCGGCCTTTGATTCTATCAGATTCATTGCTTGTCTCTGCCTCCCAGTAACCTTCATATCAGTAGATGGGAGGGCTTTCTTTTTCCACTATTAAATGCAGTATCTCTTATTTGTAATCTTGTTCATCTTCCATTTCTCCATCTAGCTCTGCTTTAGCTGGTACGCTTTTGCTGTTGTTTGGCTTGGTGTTGTTCTTTTAGTTAGAGTCAGAATAGAAGCCACTGAATGTTTAAATAATTCTGAGTTTTAATTCAAACACTGCAGAGATTTGGGGAGTAATGTAGTTCAAATTAGTGGCTCAACCACCACAATGATGTCCAGGTTCAGCCAAGCTCCTGGTCTAGGAGAGAAAGCATTCTTAAGGTTCCATGGCACCTGAACAGCGGCCTGCCTCATGCATGCAGAGCCAAGTTCTCCTATCAGGGCACGGGAAGTCACTAACAGCAGAGCAGCCTCTGACCCTATGGGTGAACCAGTTTCTCTCTCCTCCAAATTCACCCACGAAACCAGTAGACTTTGAAATACACAAATTTTCAACACAATGAGGTGTCTGTACAGGATCTACAAAGAAGGAACAGTATAATGAATTTTACAGCAACACCAGATCTAAGGCATCCAAGACTCAACAGGCTTCTCAGACTGTTCAGGTCAGCAGGAGGGAGTGCAGTTGACCAGGTGAAACCCATTAGTTCTCTTGGGGAGGATCCCTTTAGAGTCATGTGGATGAGTGTGTGTCTGAGAACATGTACTGGGGGAAGGGGAATTCTTATCATCCTAGCAAGCCCACAAACTATAGGGGTTTGTAACACTGGCCTTCACTGGGTAAGTTGGAACGTATGAGTTAATGATTATTTTCTCAGTTAAACCTACACAAGAACATGGCTCCTTTTTTCTTTTTAATATGTGTTGATGTGTGTGTGTGTGTGTGTGCGCACGTGCATGTGCGCGCACGTGCGCATGTGAGTGGGTGAGTGTATGCCCTCTGCATTGTGTACAGTGTCCAGAATAGGATGTCATGTGTCTGTTTCTAACATTCTCCACGTAACTGCCTTGAGACAGAATCTCTCTGGAAACTCCCCATTTTGACCGGGCTGCCTGACCAGCGAAAGCTCTTGTGATCATGAAGTTCCATGCACAAGCATCCACACAATGGGCACTATGGATTCAAACCAAGTCTCCATGCCTTCACAGCAGGAGTTCCTAGCCCCAGAGCCATCTCCCCGTGGGTGTTGCTCATCAAGATGATTATAACAGAAATTCCTGCCATAATTTCTTCCATTTTAATACTTAGATAATAAGCAAATTAGGAAATGGACTTTCCCACAAAAAGATCACACACCTCTAGTCTCGAAAGAGAGATGGGTACAAATAGCTTAACTTGAGAACCCTGTGTGTACACACAGCTGCATCCAGTGCACGTGGGGACTTGAACTCATTTACTGCACAGCGGTCCCCCTACTCCAGCCCTGCCAGTTCTGCAGGATGTCAGAGCGGCATGAGCTCCAGATCAGTCGATTGGAACTTCTGGGAAGACTGCCACAGGGTTATCTGTTCCCAGAAGCGCTGCCGCCTTCTACAAAGACAGAGGACTTGCCCTGCTCTGAAGCTGCTTTTCTACTGTGCGGTGTGAGCCAAGGCATTAGAACATGGGCAGCAGTGGCTGCCTTCTGATCAGAACTCAGGCAGATACTGACTCCCAGCCTGCAGCTGGTAAGAGAACTCTGTTTTCTTTAATCATCAGTAGCGTCCTGGTACCTTAGCCACTGGTACCTTCTGCATCCATGCTCCTGCCTGAAAGTATCTTTGTAGAAATCACCAAGGATGTTTACAAACTCTAGAATTCCTCTTCCATTATCTTTTAACCTAGATTTCTTAACCTTTCTATAGCAGATAGCAAATCTATTTCATCTTCTGCTTGGACACTCAGTGAGACCATACGCGACCTTCCTCAGTGAGGCATGACTGTTGGAGTCTTGCCAGGGGAAATGTTCTGGGCCATTTATGACCTGGTTCTTATGTCTGAGGGGTCTTGCCCTGTTTTTCTCTTTCAATGTCTTTACATCTCCTACTTATCCAAATGGCAATTTATTATCAAGGTGACCCCCCCCACACCGCAAATAGGAAGTAACAAAGTAAGGTTACCTAAGATTCTGTCTGAGTTGTCTCGCCTCTAGCCCAACAACAAACCGGATGTGGAGGAGGAAGTTGTGTGCTGAGCCCTTCCACATAGGTCTCTTTGCAGTACTTCTTGCTACCCACGTAACTGCCCCAATAAAATGAGGTTTTCTTCTACTTCTGTAACACCACACTCTCCAGACGCCTCCTTCCTCTGTCTCTCAGACCAGCCTTCTGCCCAAGTCTTAAACTAAGAATCTTCCCTGGGCCCCTTTCTCACTTTCCATAATGACTAGTCTTGGCTGACAGCTGAGCTGCATCTGGGAAGAGCCACAGCCCAAGCCACCAGGCACTCCTGTGCGGGGCTATCTTCATCAGATTATTTGAAGCCGGAAGACCCATCTTAAATGTGGGCAGTGCATACTAGTGGCAGCACACATAAAAGGACATGGAAGAAGGAAGCTTCTGCCCTTGACTTGCTTGCCCTTGCTCTTGTTGGCAAGCGCATCTATGCCGTGAACTTAGGCACTCTAACAGTGGTATTAGAACGAGGTTCTTGGGGCTTCCAACCAACGGCTCTCTGGAAGCCCTCCAGGCCTTCAGAGCCAGGTTGGACACCCAAGACATCCAGCCTTACAGGTTAAGCAACTAACTACAAGATCCTTGGGCTCTTCGGTGTGATTCTGCAATCGCTGGACTACCTGGACTGTATTCTGTAAGCCAATCTACTAAATTACAATTTGATATATACATATTTATCCTAATTAGTTTTGTTCCTTTACAGAACCTGGTCAATATGCTTTATACAATATTTCTATTTTCTGGAACTATTTCCTTCGCTGAGTTTCATTCATCTATCGTCCACCCATTGATGGTCTCCAAATCTATGTCCCTCTTCGCATTCCAAAACACACCATTTTTATCCTCCACACTTTATTCATGTGTATATTCTCTTCTCTCTAGTGCTGGTCCTTCCATTGTAGATCTGTCCTTCCATTGTAGATCTGACTTTGGTGACTCCTTCCGTTCAACCTCCACCTGCACTCAACCCCTGGCGCACTGGGTACATTGCACAAAGCCCCCACAGAGGGACTGACAGCAAGCTTCCGACCTGCACATCTCCTCCTACCTCCCCTGCCTCATTCATCTCTGCAACAAATCCCCAGGCGTCTCACAACTGGCTGCCTTTCCAGCCTGCTCAGCACACTCTGGTCAGAACTGCTGAGCAAAGCGAATCTACAATGTAAGGGAGCAAAGCTTTGTGTGGCTCAGTGTTTCACGGGAGTTCAGCCCGTAATGGCTGAGAGAGCATAGCAGAACAGAGACATGGGGCAGGAGCTCTGGGTGGCAACTGACCAGGAATCAAAGAGCAGGTCAGAATCAAGAATTGGTCACCCACTTCTGCCAGCGAAGTCCTACTTCTTAAATATACCAGAGGCTCCCAAAATAGCCCCAGCAGCTGGGAAACAAACATTAAAAATGAATGTCTGACAAAGACCTTACAGATTTACACACACACACACACACACACACACTCATTTACTCATTTGACTATGAGAGTCCTCTACTTTTCTGTTGTCAAGCTAGATAATAATTATGTCTATTATTTAAGAAGTTCCTATATGCCAGATACTCTACCTACAGCTTTAATAAAGTCAGTATAGTAATCATCTCCTTTATTTCTCTGGATGATTGTAGAGGTGGACCTCAGGTCATTATACTGCAAGTGAAAACCCACTGAAGACCTGTGACTCACTGGCTCAGTGTCATGCTATTAACTAGTGGAGCTCCACTTCAAACACAGCCTATCCTGACTCCAAGACCTCTCTGGCCTTAACTAGAGATTCACTTGATAAGAATTGTAATGTGTTCAGTGTTTTATCATGCAAACTGCCTTTAAGTTAGACTATGTATGTCATTTGAGCACAGGAGACCCCTCAGCAACCCCCAAGGAATCAGACTCACTGGACTTAGTTCTGTTCTACAATTGTTTTGCTTGTTCAACAATGAAATAATTATCTGTCCAATGGGGGCTTCAGCATTAGGCAGGAGCTCAGCATACCCTAGCCTCCCTCTTCCGCTCCTCTCTGTATCCTGCCTCTCTAAGAGCCACTGCTTCTCCAGGCAGACCCTTCCTCTTTCATGGCCAGAACAATGCAAATCATTTTGCAAAGTCAATGGAAACATTTCCTCTCCTCTGCCAAAGCCTTCTACATTTCCCTGGGAAGAGCTGAGTTTTGGAATGTCTTTGTTCCATTACGATGCCTTTAATCCCTCAACCGTGGATGTCAGCCTTTCAGGTTGTGATTAATTTGTTTACAGGTGTATCTCCAATAGTAAAATCTACCATAGGTTCTTTGAGGTCAGGAGAAGTCCTTCACACCCCCTCACCTTTTGTTCAAGTAATACGTCTTCAAAGTCTACTTGCTTAGTAGATAGTGCATGAGTGAATGACCCAATACTCTCCAATGAATGACATTTTCACGAGTACATTTAGTTTTAATCAGCTCTGCTCAAGTCTTCTACTGGTTGTTTCTAGTCTCTGAAAGTGAGATGAAGAATGGGATAAAGAGTGTGCTAAGTTCCAAAAGGCCTCTGGAAAGCAGCTGAGAGTTATGCTGACCAATACAGTGGCCTGCAGCCACCTGTTGTCAGTCAGCACTTGAAATCTAGCAAAAGTGAATCAAGCTGTATTGTTACTACAGCTATGTACATGATTTTGGAGACTTGATATTTCAAAGAGTGAATAACATTTTGGATTAAGCTAAATCTGTTATTAAAAAATATTTTTCCTCATTTTCTCTTTGGTTTCCTAAAGTGAATACTAACAGACTTTAAAACTATATAAAAAGTTAAGCCGAACTGGCTTAGACTTTAAAATTTCATGAGAGTTGTCAGTGTGGCTTAAGAAGGAAATGTTGGGCGTGAGTTAGGATAGGTTTCCCTTTTATGCTTCTAAATTCACACATCAGAAAGGAAGGAGGAAAGAGACTCAGACTGAGGGAAAAGAAAAGACAGGGAGGGAAGACAAGATGGAGGACAAGTTGTTTTAGATAACAGCTCAGTGAGGGAGTTTTGCCACATGGCCAAGCTTTTGGTGATCAAATCATCTTTTCAGTTAACACAATGTTTCAATTTTTTCTATAAATAATTTTAGAGATAATATCCAAATGTTGAGACAGACTTAGCTATATCTAGTCTTAACTCAAATAGTTAGAAATGTTAAGGGATGAAGAAGTAAGACATGAAATAGAAACATGTAGCTATAAATATTCTCCATTCCGCTGGTCTCTGTGGACCAGTTTCTCTACACCCACCAGGTCCCGCTCACTAGCTCCTGCAGTCACTTATAAAATAACAATTCTGAGGCTTAATATTAATTAAATACTCTTTGATCTATTAGCTCGGGCTTATTATTAACTAACTCTTACATCTTAAATTAACCCATTTCTATTATTTTGTATTTTACCATGAGGCTCGTGGTTTGTTACCTCTTGCTTCATGGGCAGCTATGTGACATCTCTGATTCTGCCTTCTTTTCTCCTGTTCTCTGTTTACATTTCCTGATTTGCTATATTCTGCCCTGTCATAGGCCAAATCAGCTTCTTTATTAACTGAAGATAATAAAACATATTCCCAGTATACAGAGGGGAATCTCACATCAGAAACATAAAAGTAGAAAGTCAACACTGAATCCATAATGTCTACTACGTCTCCTATTGAGATAACTGTATTTCTGCCATCTTTGGTGCTATGTTTCGAAGTTCTCATGTTTTGAAGAGATTAAATAATCTGAATTGATTATCTGATTCTGCTTCTGACAACCTCAACAAATCAATAGAATACCAGTTTTGGGAACCTTATTCGCTCAGATTAATTATTGGTACTAATAAGGTCTATGTTATAATAATGTTCCATAGTTAGATTTAAATTTTAAATTTCTTGCTAAATACAATTATGCAATAGTCATTGCAATTTTAAATGAGACTCATTGTAAGAAGATTATAATACTATTAGGGTTTTATTATGCAAATAAAATGTCAGGGAAACATTAGTAATTTCAAATATTGGTTACTGTCACTATTTCACGATACTGTACCAAAAATATTAGTCATAAAATTTGGAAAGTTGCATCCTTGTCATTTCCAGCCTTTACTTTTTTTCCCCCCTGTTTCACTTCAAAACTGGGTCATGCAAAATTTCTGCCACTCAAACTCCAGCTTTTGTAACAGAAAGATTCACTTTCTTCGCTACCTTTCAGCAAAAGGCAGATAACCTTGTAGAGTGCCATCCAAAGGCACAATGCTCGGTCCAGTCTCAGATTTAAATGGTTTACAAGCTCTCTACCCTTTTCCTCTGTGTCAGTAAAGAGAACTGCTATGGACCAGAGAAACAAAGTCATCAACAAAAGACACACCTGATGTCTCTTGCACAATAAAACCACAGAAACTGGCTCCTTACCATCCCGCCTCTGCTCCGCCTCGCAAAAGTGTGTTCCCGTGGGGGTGTGGATGAACGCATGGACATGCTTGACTCCGTTCTGAAAGGGAGGACAAAGTGGTTCCCAGTCACACTCCAACACAAACCACCATAGCAATTTCTTTCATTAGACTGGGAACATAAGTGACGAAACCTTTTCCAAACGCTTCCAGGGGACCTCTTCTACGTAGACGTGGGCTCGGGTGACATGGTTAAAAGAAGAAAGGAAGTGCTCACAGATGTTCATCGCAAAGGTCTCTATGTTCTTTATCTGTACAAAGGAACGAAAGAGAGAAGGAAACGCCGGTAATGTCCATTTAAAAATGTCCCGTTTAAAAGACTTGGGCTGATTAGATTGTTTCACTTATTTTGAGGTAGCCACTCACTGACTACATAGCTCCGTCTGACCTTGAATGCATGATCTTTCTGCCTACGCCTCATTCTGAAATTATAAACCTCTATATCTGGCTTACAGCATTTTTTTGGTTTTGTTTTTGTTTAAGATAAGGCTTCTCTGTGTAGCCCAGGCAAGCATCAAGCTCATGGTGGTACTCTGAGGGCTGGGATTACAGGCATCCACTGGCAAACCCAGCCAAAAGTAATTACCAAATGCTCACAGGGGGCTCTTTCCTGATTGGTGGATTCTTCCTGAGAGAAACACAGAATGAGAATCTCAGAAGATGAAATAGTCCAGTCCTGTTTTTCCTCCACTATTCTTGGGTGTGGTCATAGATTCTGATCACCTGGGAGACTCTATCTTGTCATTTTTTTATTTTTAAATATTTTTGTTATTTTTATTAGATATGTCTTGCCTGCATACATGTCTGTGCACTGTGTTCATGGCTGGTGCCATGGAGACAGGAAGAAGGTGTTAGAGCCCCTGGAGCTGGCGTTCCAGGTGTTGCGAGCCACTGTGTGGGTACTAGAAGTGAAACCAGTGTTCTCTGGAAGATCAGCCAGCCTCTGGACAGATGAGCCACCTCCCCAGAACGGTTCTGTGTTTAAAAGAAGCCTGCTTTGCGTGCCAGGAGGCACTGGAAGACAAACAAAAAGCAACTTACGTCCAGAATCTTCTCTCAGTGTGTTTGTAACACTGGAGCTTATCATGAGGTTTGCAAATGGGTTCCCGTGTTCTTCAGGAAGGTCAGTCTTTAGGTGTGTCTGTTTGAGCATTTCCATAAGGGAAGACCCACCCTGAATGTGGGTGCACCTGTCCCATCTCCTGGGATCCCAGAA